CACATAATTTCTGTATGTGGGGTTGTACTCTCTTTTGCTTTTTTTCAGGCTTACAACTGACAAACAGATAGGAGCTCATTTTGTTACTTCAGTCCTTTTCTTTTTTAAAATCATGAAATTTAAAAGTATGGTGTGCTCTCTCATTGGAGTACCCCTGAAAGACAGAGGTGTGTTTCTGAAGGGTTCTGATTTTACGTGTTAACTTCTAAATGCTGTCTGTGTTATTCAGTAATGCCAACTAATGTGGATTTTCCTAAACATCTCATCTGTTGCTGTCTGGGGATGACACATCATATTGTTAATTGCATTGTTTTTTTTTTGTTACACATGTGAGCCTTTATTATACTGTATGGCCTGTGACAGCTAGTGATGACACATTTTGATAATGCTGATGCGAAGACATTCAAACTCTTCACTCTGGCCAATCCTAACAGGCCACCTGCTGTTAAGTATGCAGATATTGTCCAGAAAGCAGGTGTAAAGATTTACAGGCTTACACGAGCAGATTATGTAGCAAGAAGTTTATCGTTTTGATTTTTTTTGGGTTGAAAAAAATCTTTTATAATGCAGAGGTCAGACAAAATGACTTTAAGTTTAAAGTAAATTATCAGGAATCTTTACCTCCATATGCTTAAGAATTTTAGCATTTAATCGTCTCTTTTATATTTATTTTAGGTGTAATGTTTCTATAATTAAGAGTCCTTTTTGAGACCTATTTCAGAATAAAATTAGTAAAGAATCAATGTAAATTATTTTAAAATTAACTATATTCTCCCCAAAACTACTTACAGTAATATAATTATGATTGGCATTTAAAAATGGTTTATCTTTCTGTTTAAACATATTCATTTTGTTACTTCAGTTACTGTTGGAGGATGTTGATTTATTTCTTGAATTCAGAGGGGTATAACAATATTTGGGGATTAATTTAGCATGCTAAAGGAATTAACATGTGCTATAATTAAGGTTGTTTGCATTCATTTTGAATAGTGGAAACTCTTCATCTGCCAATTGTTTATTACACAGCACTGTATGTTTTGAAAAAATTAAAACACCATTCATTGGCAAGTATGTCTTTGTGTTTTCAAATGTTTGAAGCTGGGTTCCCATACACATTTGGCAAGTTTTGTAAAACAAATACAGACTTTTCTGGTTAGACTTTCTGACATCTTTGACAATGTAGATGTTTCATTTCTGTCAAGTTTCTGTCAAGTATCTTTTGCACCCTATGTGGAAAGTATTTTGCATATGATGTCTTGAAACTGCTATATTTATATATATAACTATATTTTCATATTGACTTGAGCTTCAAAATCAGACTGACTGGAGAGGACATGAAAGCGATGTAAATGTTTTATAGAATTCCGTTAAATGTTGTTTTTTTAATTATGCATAGCTGTTTAAAGGGTAAACAATGGTGAGACATCTAATCAGTTAGGTAAGTAAGATGATTTAGATCTTAGATGGAATGAAAAATAAGATTCTAGTTCATAAACACTAATATTGAATGTGCAATGGAATTAAAAAAATATTGCATCTTATCATCAGCTGTAAATATAATATGTTAATTAGTTTTAGTAAAGTGCCAGAATTGTTGCCAGTTTAAGCCCTGTTTTGTTACATACATTTATCAATTCAGATTATCATAAGAAATCATGAATGTTTGGTTATTAATATGTCTTGAACAGTTATTTTGCACCAAGATGGCTGACATGAATGTGTTTTGGTAATCAGCTCAGAATGCAGTTCCTTGTTATAATTAAGGTAATATCACTACTGTATTTATTTTAGTGAGTAGCCTTGCCCCCTTCCAATTTGTGGTGAGCAATTCACAATTAGTTTGGCCTACCGCAATTCTTGTCCCAGCACAGGAGAGAAGAGGACAATTATCAAGCTGCTTCCTCTGCATGCAGTGCAAACCACAGGGGTCACTAATGGTGCAGTTAGCAGAGGATTCATTGACTGACTCAGCTCATTCAATTCAACAGTGCTTGGCTAAACCACTCAAGAGTGACAAATTGAAATTATCATCTATTTATCTATTATTTATTATTATCTACTATTACCATTAAAATGTTGTAAATTGCATTTTTGGGGGTATTATTAACTATTGAATAATAATAATAATAATAATAATAATAATAATAATTGCTTACACTTATATAGCGCTTTTCTGGACACTCCACTCAAAGCGCTTTACAGGTAATGGGGACTCCCCTCCACCACCACCAATGTGCAGCATCCACCTGGATGATGCGACGGCAGCCATAGTGCGCCAGAACGCTCACCACACATCAGCTATCAGTGGGGAGGAGAATGAAATATCACCAGTTTATCTCCTGCTGCGTGATGTCGTAAGGGCAACATTGAGGTGACACATGTTAAGGATAATTGTAATTAGAAGGACCATATCAGAGAAATTAATATTGAAGAGTATTGAAGATCACACACGTTATAAACCAATACTTTTTTCCCTAGTAAAGTTAAAGTCCCTAGTTTTAATTCTGCTCATCGCTGTGTAACTTGAACTGAACCTAAGGCCCAGAGAAGTATTTCAGTGAGAATTAGGTAAATGTGCAAGCAGTGAAATACTGTGATGTGCTGGAGAAATGTGTAAGGATTGCAGACTTTTTGGCAGTGCAAATGAAAATATCATATCTTGTATGATTGCAAGGTCTTTAGATGTAAGTCCATTTAAAGCCCACAGTTCCTCCTGACACAACTGATTTGCGCAACAGTTATTGACCTCAAAATGGTGTCTTTTCTAATTGACTCAGACTTCATCTTTCTGGACTGGCTTCAGTACAGAACACGAATAGAAGTTCTGTAAATGTTTGGAGCTGGAACATTCTGAAGAAAAATGTGAGTGTATGATTACACTCATGAAAGATGTCTACCTCCCATGAATGCTGCCCAAAGTGAGTAAGTTACATATCAACAGCAGCAGTGACACTGTAGGACTCCTAGATCACTCCAATTTTAATTGGTCTAATCATTTACAGTCTATTTGAGGCATCAAAAGGGCATTCATGAAAATAATTCATATGAAACCTTCAATATTTTGACAATGAAGAGTTTGCAAAACTGTAAACTATGTTTAGGTACAACTTAATTGTAATGCAACTTTTTCATTACAGAGAGGGAAGAAGGGTAATTCACCCCATAAAACCCTGAAATGTTTTGTGTAATGTTTCTCTTCTGTTTTTTACATAGCTAAAATCACAACACCAATATTCTGAATATGAGAATTGTTCATCTTCAGAAGACTCTTAAAGCAGCAAACCTTTGCACTTTATTCACTCAGAATTGCAGTCTGCAGTTTTTCTCTCTTGACCACTTATGCCTGTTCATCAAACGTCTTCCTATATATTGGTCTCAAATGAGTCACAATAAAAAACAATTTCCCATGAAATGAACAATGTTGCAAAAGTAAGGCAAAGTGAGCAGGACTGGACCCAGAGTTGCAAAATGTCCAAGCCACTGAGACATCTTGAAAGCCAAAGTAGGTTTTCGGGCTTCGCTTTTTTTGTGTTTCCTATTGAATGTATGAATTTAACTTTGCTCTGCATTGCTTGTGGGGAGGTTGCATTAACTTGTAATCTCACGAATACAAGCAGGACTTGAAAGAGGAAGGTCTGTTCTGTATGTTGAGACACTGTAGTCCCTAAAAACCATTTGCCCTGTTTCTCCATCACGAAGAAAGCTCTTCTCCAGATGTTGTCTGAAAGACACAGGACAGGCCCCATCCTGGGATGTGACATCTTTCCAAACACCCTTTCCACTTCTAGAGGGCCCTGCTAGTACAGAGACCTGGGTAGCAGACAACACGGCTGACTTAAGAAGAATTACAACACAGAGAACACCACTGCATCTCCTCACCTGGAGGACCTTGTGGAATCAGTGGGATAAAGACCAGTACATAGGGCAGGGATTCTATGGTCTCACTCTGTGCCCCACAGCACAATGCCTCTTGTCACTATACACACTGAACAAGCTTACAGTATCTGAACAGGCACATATCTCGCTAATGGCTGCTCTGCACGGAGAGCCAGCCTCACCACATCGTGCATCAACAGAATCAGATAAAGTGGCCCTGGAGCTGTTTTTCATCTGAGTGATTGTTAGACAAAACCGATAAAATGCACTTCATCATCATCATCACCACTATTATTTTTATTATTATTATTTAAAGGACTCGTTGTACTGCTTAAATGTTGATGTAATTCCGAGAACAAATTCTAAGCAAGCCGGAATCGGGAGTTCTCGGCACCGAAATCGTTAAGAAAAGAAAGATGAAAAGCAATATAAATGGCGCAGTAGCCATATTTGTAACAGAGTGCCAAATAACCAGCGCAAGGATCATCTCAGCGTGCCCCTAAGATCGGGATGAATTAAATTCTTAATTCTGTTTCTGTGAAAGAGCGTGAAAGACTTTGCATGAAAATTAAGGCGGGTTTGCGTAAACTCTTGACCCCGTAATAAAAGCAGTAAGAATGTCCACATTTACAGACCACAAAGGTCTTACAAAGACAAACGTATGACAGTTCTTTTCTAAATAAAGCCGATAACGTTTTCCAGCATTAGAGTGTTCCTGTAAACGTCTAAACCACAGCGACCATCACTTCAATTTTAACAGATGCTCACACGGATTCGTATTCTGAAATCTACATTTCGCTGTACCGGCGATTATGACAACCAGATAGCGTAAAAGTGTTCCCCTGGGGCAAAGCCTAGTGAAAAGTATCTTTTATTCGACAATCACCACCTTCACAGGTACTTTAACTTAACGTACTGTATATACAATATTTCTATTGTCTCTTATTTCCATTATGATCTTTCAGTTAGATCATTTATACAAAAACATTAGAAAGCAGTCCGTCGAAATCGCTGCATTTACGTTTATGGTGCACAGAGGAGCTGGCAGAACGCGTCTTCTGCTTATATCGCCTGATTCATTTCAAAACCCGATAGCGCTTTGGTTCATTTTGTAGAGCACTTACCGTGAAGATGTTTTTAAAAACTAGACTCATGAATACGTACGGATCAGATTAACATTCGCTCTCTTTTTTAAATTTCTTTAAAAATGCAACATTTTCCGGGTTGAAGAGGACAAGTAACCTACTGATCCAGAAGAGGTTTGACATGTGATGACGAATTTGGGTAATAAGAAATTGTCAATCCATAGTTTTGATAGAAAGACACCGAAGATGCTAAAAAACATTGTTAGTGACCCGAAATTGTTAATCTGAAAGCACAATCCAAAAATAACACTAGCAATATTACGAACGGCGATCTATTTCTGTGCGCAACCAGGAAGAGGTCCATTGCGCATTATGGTTACACAGACAGCCTCACAAAAAAGGATTATATTAATTTTTTCATTTCATTATTTTTTCTCTGTCTGTGTTTATATAATTGTTGTTGTTGTTTGTTTTTTTTTTGTTCATTTAAGAATGTAAGTTTGTTATGGGAGCTGCTACAGTGGTGAAGCGCCAAAATTTGAAACCTTTGGCCAGGAGGAGAAAAAAAAAGCTTTTTTATCTAACGGTTTTTGCCTTAGCTGTGGGTCTCAAGGTCTTGTGTTTCCGGCTGATTTGAGTTTGCTCTTCAAAATTCTTCTTGCACCAGAAATTCTGAAATAAAAGCAGAAAGCATTTTCAATTCAAAACAGGTTTGTGATAATTTTGTTTGATTGGACTTCAGCGTTTGATCGTTTTGCCTTCTCGATTATGATGCTAAATCAAAACTGATTTCTGATTTAAATACGACTGACGGTTTCAATATGTTGCAACTTCTAACTACATTTCACTTATGAGGTGTTCTAAAATGGGGGGTACAATTAATATTGACTCACAATATAGAATGTCCTTTCTTTACATTCAAGAAATTGTGTATTACTTCGGTATGTATACATTTTCCCGTTTCTGTGCATTTACACTTTATTTACTATAGACCTAAAAAAATGACATGACGTAAACTTTAAACAAAGAAGTACATTAAACACTATGTTCCAATGGAGAAATAAGACACACGTACAGTGGGTGCATCTGTGTGTCCATTTATATATTTACGGTATGGCCACTGTATCTGTTACACACATATCGTGTTTTGATTTAAGAATTATTCATAAATAATTCATGTATTGTTGCAGAAATTATTGCATACATATCTAACATCTGTGTTCACTGCCTAAATGCCTTACAACACCTTAATTGTATTAAGTGTAATAAATATTGTTTCTTAATCTGAGACATTGACTGCCAATTATTCTGCAACGCTTTCGAAATGAGAGCCGTTGGAAGATGAATTATTCCCGCCCTGTCTTAAATGTATTATTCACCATCCTAAATTAGGCTTGATGAAGGAGTGTTCAATAAATTAGAAGACTGTACTGCTCTTATGTCTGCTTCTGTAGGTAGTCCACTTCTGAATTAACTGTGGTTTAATATCAACTACAAATTAAAATACAAAAGACATATTTATTATTAACAGTATTATGAATACTGGAAAGACTACATAGTTGCCCATTGAATGTGTAATCTGCATTGAATACACTGTGATGCAAAGTAATTGTAACATTATTTTTAAATTACTTAATTGGTGTCATTTAGCTTTCATAGAGATGGAGTCTGGATATGCCTTTTCCGTGGTTATGATTTTGAATTCAGACGCGAGGTCTCCTCACGTAAATTTCATGATATTCTGTAACAGTACTGATACTGTTTACAGTACTTTTGGAAATGAGTAAGTGATGAGTAAGCTGACATATCACGGTTTTAAAACCATCAAAGGCAACTAATTTTAAGAATGAAAGTTAACTGTTGTACAGATTTATTTTTGAGCTTTGAGAATTGACCTCGAAGAGGAGAGAGCTGGTCACATAACACATTCTTACAATTTAATAATATTGATACATACTATATATATGACCTTTAAATTATTTTATTATGAATAAAATAAACGTAAGAGGAAGTAATGCACCATGCCGTTCTTTCAATATTTTATTTTTTTCTCACGAAAGCAAGATAACATAACTTAATTTTGCAATATACACTTTTGTCCTAACAGGACAACACATAAAACATTTTAATTGACACAATGACGGTTGTTTTATAAATACAGAAATCCAAAATGAAACACTGTAAGTGCATGTACTTCTTCGTTTTGCGTAAAAAAACGAAAAGAAAACAAAACTTTGGTCGGTCCATATTGAAAATGTAAAAATCACATTTTGTTGAGAAGATAAAGATACATGCGTTCACAGTCTAACACATCGCACCATGGGTAACATTCATCACTGCCGTTACACCAAAAGTGCAACGTGAACGTTTTATAGAGGAAAATAAAAATACGATGTAAAACAAACCATAAACCTGGCTAATTTAAAGATGCAAATCCAATTAATAATAAAAAGAACACATGATTGTAAAGACATAAATTGGAGATTGGCATCTTATGTATTGCCTTTGCCTAAGCCTACTCGATGTTAATCGCTGAAAGCAACGTGCGGCGTTTCAGCTTTAAGCTTGCTGTTGATGTGGCAAAGAAATTAAATTGTGTCTCTATAATACAAACAGTTCAACTGACATCTAAGCACGCCTCAACATACAAAAAAATATAGCCAGCTATCGTTTAAATTCAACAACTTAAAATTTATTTCCCAAATCAATACAGGCCATTAAAAATGCCTGGAAATAAAATGACCTACAAACTTTTTTTAAAAATGGACAATTATTAGTTTGAATTAAAACCGGCGATTGCAATAGTTTTAAAAAGCATTCAGTATATTATGTGGCTGGAAACACACTTAGTAGACGTATCAAAATCTAAAAATGTAACTTACAGTAAAAAAGTAACAAAGAAACACAAGCGATCTATTAAGACCTCAAACGGTACTTACTAAAAATTGGCTGTTTTTTTTTTAAAGAAACTGGGTGGTAATTCGACGCGCTTGTATGTTGAAGTTGATGTAATGGGTTATCGAAAAGTTTCGATATTTAATACAAAATGGGAATGAAGTTTATATAAAAAAGTGTATTCCCCTCGACATCGAATTATTTATTTCATATACTGTATGTGGCAGTGCGTTCCTTGACACTAGGCGCACGTTTCAGCATTTCACACAAAATTGATTTGATTGTTGAAGCTGCCAAATTAAATTCGTATTGAAAATATCAGCTTGTCAAGCAGTGAGAAACAAGCTACATTTGGGCCATTTAAAACTGTCGTTCTCCCCTTTTTGCATGAACGTAAACAGAAAGAAGAATTAAACATGAACGAAGAAATTGTCATTCACAGAACCTGGAGATTCTTCCTAGGTCAAAACATATTAAGAGGCTTTTTAGGATAATATGTTTTGTAGTTTCTTTCGAGCGCTTCAAAAAGAAACAGTATAAATTTGACTTGCCAATAAACTAGGCATTCAGCAGTTATTCTTGCAGAATCAATTTGTGATTGTGCTTTACAGTAGCCCACTACTCTGAAAATCTTCAGTTCCTCAGCGAACAAAAATTAAACGATTTTTAAAGAGGAAGGCAATCTGTCTTCCGCCTTATACAAAAATAAGTAATAATTTTCAACATCAACTATTTTCTCGTGACTTGGAGGATGTTTCATTCTACGTTATCTTAAACAACGCTTTTCAATATGTTGCTTCACACACAAACGCAAGTTTTAGATTGGAACGAGGATTATGCTGAGTAACTACGCTCATCGTCACCATTATAGAACAAAAACGAATGATCATACATGAATTTCAAACTTCTCAATGGATGTCCATGAATTGATCAGATTTTTCCCTTAAACCTAAATGTGACATGTCTCTGTGGCGCTCCCCTTTTAGTTCTGCAGGCGCATATACTCCTCAATCCATCTCGCTGTTGTCATCCTGTTGTGCGTTTTAGCCAAGTCACAAGCAGTCTTTCCCTCCAGGTTCCGATGCAGGGGCTGGGCCGTCCGCTCTATTAGGAATTTAACAACGTCCAAATTGCCTTCCCTAGCCGCGAGGTGCAAAGGCAGATTCCCCTCTGTGTCCTGGATGTTCACGTCGGCGCCGTGCTCCACCAGAACGCGCAACGTGTCCTCGTAGCCGTCCCGGGCAGTGTCGTGCGTCACAGTAAGGCCGCCGAGAGGGTCTCGCACGTTGGGATCGGCGTTCGCCCGCAGCAGGACCTGGGCTATGGAGGGGTTGCCAAGCTTCATGACCTAGAAACAGAAAGCACGTTAATTATTAGTTGCATAAAACCAGCAGATTATTTATTTTGATTTTGAGTGAGCCAAGTGAAAATAGCTTTAAATGCAACAATAATAAACACATAGGTTTAAATAAATATAAGTAGGGGCATTGCAAACTATTCTGTTTCTGAGCACCTTTAGTCTAATTACATTGGCAAAAATGCAGGTTCCGAATACATACCTAAGGCTTGGCAACTTTACCTGTGTTGCAGTAGGCAACCAAAAGACGTTTGATGCAGTAGGCCCTAAAATATTCCAGACTGTGGCAATTTTATAGACAATTTGAAATACTCCGTGGTTTAAAGTCAACAGCATCTTTCGAATTTCTTAGGGTAGCATAACTTTACTTTCAATAAATTGTTTGACCTCAGTTACGGAGCCGATACAATACAAAGTTATTTTCCATGAGGATGCGAGAGTTGGGGCAGAGCAGTTTTTCGGCTTTTAACGATTCTTTGGATTTTAAAAAAATATTAACAACATTAATTAAACCGCCATTTTAGAGTCGCACACTTTCCATTTTGTATCAGTTTTTCAGAGTTCTTTGGTAAACTGCTCTTATAAAACTCCTTATGATTCTGTATTAGATATTGTATAAATGATATATCACAGTTCTTGGGGAAAACGTGAAATAGCATAACTTCTCTTAAGATATATTTAAGTTTAATATTTCATTATTTTAATTCCAATTTTCCATTAATTAATTATTATCATGTTCTAATATGCCCTTTCACAATGTATAATATTCTGTAAGAATGCAATGTCTCTTTAATAAGATCTGTCAAATTTTAGCAGGGTGTGTTTTTTACAAATATGTGCGATTTTGTAATCTCAAAGTTTTCTCCTAAAATAGGTATGTGGAAGGAACAAGTGGCTCATATAGAAACTGTAGGCCTATTTGCAATTCTGTCATTTACAAAGGGCCAGAATTATTTTTATTATTGTACTTAAGATATCTGAAAATACATACTTAATACATTTATAATTAACAATAGGGATAATGTACTGTACCTGATTTTTCCAGCTTAGATTTAAAACATACTTTACATTAAAACTGCACACCAGGTCTATGAAGTAACTTAGGTTTAATTATGTTATGCTTTAAAGAATCCAATTGAAGCTCACACAGTCTTTGGTAATTACTATTGATTTTTTCATGTAAAATGAATGACAAAAACCTGCTAAACAAATGAGTTTCTGTAGGATAACTATCGTAGAAAATCATTTTGTTTGATAGTTGCTCCTCTATTTTCCATAGGTTTAATATGAAAGAAGCAAACTGTTTAGTAATTTAGATAGGACTGTATAATACATAAAATACTTACAGTATATACAGTAAGACACTGAATGGAAAATTAATGTTTTTTAAACAGTCTTAAATGTTTTCCTCAAAATGCAAATGGCCTATTTTACAGGCTATAACTAAGCCTCTAATCACCAATCTCAAACAAAACAATAGTTAGATAATTGCAATTTCAGGTGATTCACTTCAGCACGCGTTATCAAGTTAAATGTTAAAAACAGATGCTCACAAAAGCAGTAGGAGTATGAGTTCACTATGACCTTAGCCTCCTCACTCCTATTGCTTATAGGTGGCAATACGGGCCCTGTGCACATTCAATGGACCATTCTCTTCCAAGAATAGGTGCCAGAGAGAGCTAGTTCTCCAAGGAGGCTAGTTAGGGAACTTTGGGATGTGCTGGCAATACAAATACTGAAAGTAAAGCATATGAACATCACTGTTAGCACCAAGACAGTCCTGGCCATTAACACCTACTGTAAAGAACATGTGGGAGGTACATTTATTTTCTACTAGAATCATCTCAATAAGGATGTGGGTTTGGCTATGCAATCAAGTTCAGAGAGATTGCATTCTCCATTTTGGCACCTGTATCTGGGTAACACTCCAGCAGTTTTGTAACGGTCGTTTGACTTCATTGTAATCTTCCAAAATTGTGTCCGGTATTCCGAAAGTGAGCATTCTCCTAATTCTGCCTTTTTTCTTCCCCTGGGTACCTTGACATCTTGTGACAGCTTTCCAAAGAGTAAGAATTGGAAATTCAAACATACTATTAACCGTTACTTTTAAAAGTATTCTACTGAAAGGTAAGCAAGTCAGTATTCGTTATCCTGACATAATGGATTATTGAATGACCATGTAATAACTGTTAGGCCTTAGAAAACTGAAATTGCACCTGAAGAAATACATGTAATTATCATGCCTGTGAACATTTAATCTCCAAAGAGTGAAGAGCTGGGAGTAAAGATTCACACGTGCATTATTATCCCTTCAGATTTAGATGTATTTCTGTAAAACAATACTGCACTACCAATATTGTTATTTGAAAAAAAGATTGACTGCAAAAATATTTCTAAGTACACTAGGCCTCACTGTTTGAAAGCTGTAGCTATTAACTGAGATGGTTTATACAGAATTAAATAATACTGTAGCTGTCAGTAAAAAAAAGGACAACCTATTATAGACGAATGACACCGATTCATTGTTACAATCATACAATATAACCTAATACCAATCTGATATTTCAATTTAAATACAACACTGATAAAAGATATAAAAAGGCAGTGTTCAGTTTAAAATTAATAAATCTATTAACAGCTCAATATGCAAAGTCGTTTGAAAGTACCAAGATACCATGAGGCCTACTATTGCCTACATTAAATCTTGATAAATAATTTGAAAAAGGTATCTTTCTTAGTTCTGCTTTGGTGCACTGAACCGATTTTCTTTTAGTTTTCTCCACATTAGCCTGCCTAGAGCAAGGTAAACACTCTGCCTTCAATGTAACAGAACATGAACGAACTTAAAGCATTTGAAGTGATATACACATACACTTCTGCCCATCGTAGGGAAGGGGTCTAATTTTAAAACAGGTTAATACCACTTAGTTGCAACCGTTAATTTTGTTTTCCTTTAAATTGAAAAAAAAAGAGGATGTGGATACTCTTAGTTTACATCATATAACCTTGTTATTATAAATGAAAAAGGAATGAAATAGTACAGTTGCAGGCTGCACAGAAACATATTTTGTCCATGCGGTTTTTAAAATATACTGCAAAAGCAAGTAGGTAATAAAAACAAATGCAATTAAGAACAGAATAAGATTATTCAGGGCACTAAATCTAATGTTTGTGGTTCTCAGAAGGAACAAAAAAGGATTAAGTAGCCTATTCTATTTTTTTTCCATAACATTATCGTATAAGTCTTGATTATTCTGCAAAGCAAGACTGAGGCCAGAAAATAAAAAGTAGGGCTTGATCTGTTTAACTGGCAAATTTAAAAACGTTGCCCCTGGAGTCTCTAAAATGAAATGGGGCCACTACATTGAAAACATGCTTAAATTGTTCTTGGGATTCCCCTGTAGAGAGTTCAAAAAGACAAGCTGATAGCTGGCCTTTTCTGCCAAAGCCTGAAAGGATAAACATTTGTATGAATGTATGACATTATGTATTTTTAGACAGTGCTAACTGTAAGCTGAAACATATTTGAGAAACAAATGCAGTTGCAGTGTCTTCACCCTTTACTTCAGATAGTCTTCCTTCACCCAATACTGGTGAAAACTACACTATTTGGCGCTCAAAAAGAAACAACACAATTTTGTGGTAAAAACCACACCGAAAATACAACATGCCTTTCTACTACAATCTTGTTGTTTTAACACTGCTTTTTGTAAAAAAAACGTATTATATTGGCAATTGTGAAGAAGAGTCTTTTTCCTGTTTGTAAAAAAAATTGTCCTCAAATACACTTCTTGAGTGCACATACACATATATACAGTACATATGAACACAAACATATGTGTATTTGTGTATATATGTATCACTGCATTCATTTATACACAGTACATGCATAAACATCTATATCAAGATGGAGAGTACACACACTTTGAATTTACATTCCATGGTTTTGGAAATAAAAACCAAAGACTGGAGCAAATCTGTCCTTGAAATTTAGTCTGCTTTCCACACTCAATTTTTATTTAAACATATTTTTAAAAGTGTCCAGATGCCTAATTACATTGTTTATAAATATTGGATAAATACAAAAATAGGTATTACATACTACTATACAAGTATAATCTGTAGGCCGGTGTAAAATAAGGATATGTGGTATTGCTATTTTTTATATACAGTAGCATCTTTCTTTTTTGTTTCCAATTTATTTATAAAACATTAGGTCTACCAGAGTTTGTCTGATATGTTATTGCTGTTCACTTTCACAGACTTTTGTATAGCTATCGAGGTACTACTCAGCTTCCAAAAACTAAAATAAGCTTAGGCTGTTTATATATGTTTTGTACTGCTGAATCGAACCACAAAACAACAGCTTTTATGTTTGTAATGTGGTTACAAAAATTTACTTTAATCTATTACTAAACTTTGGATTCTGTGTGGCATAATCAACAAAATAATGTTAAATTATCTAAGTCTACCCTCGCACATACAGTAATACACATTTAAACACACCTTTCTGTACAATTAACTCTTGACTGAATAAGACAAAAACATTTTTAAAATAAGTGTCACTGAGACCTATTAATTAACACTGGAAACAGTGAATTGATCAATTAATATATTTTTAGCTAAGGTGACCAGGCCAATAATTTATGAAATACTTAATCTGTTTTCTCCTTACTATCTCACAAGAGTGAATGGGGAGTAGTGTTTATTTATTTATCTTTTGAGTTCCGTTTGTTTACATTTTGCGAAACGTTGATTTTTACTCTGGAATGATGAGTACTTTGGTTCGTTTTCTATGTTTGAAACTGCGTTTGTCATCCGTAAATTTGCAATTCGCAGTGATGGTGAGTTTGAGGTCTGCCACATCTCTTTCAGTATTAGCGCAGGACAGTCCCTACTGTAAATTATTCTTGTCTGAGTTATCCAGTGATTATTAGAAGTGTTTTAAAATAATATTACAAATGATACATACCTCCCACGGGTTAAAAAACCTGTCATAGTTCCAAACTGATATCCAATCAAGATAGGAGATAAATGCATTCTGCTTATTCATAGAAATAATTATTGTCTTCTAGTCTATCAAGCGATATTTCACACTACTGACTGTAGTTATGGCCTTTACTTGAAACTAAAATTATTGATAAATATGTATTTTTTAAAATTCAGCTCCCCTCAGAAACCGGGGGTCAGGTTTCCATTCCAGATTGCAGAAATAAGGAGGTTGTACTCTTATTTTTTAAAGTGAATTAATTCTACTTGTTATCGTAATATGGAATAGAAGTTCTCACATTATTAATTATAAAGATATAAATACATATTCAACTTAGGCCAAGCCGTAAAGTATGTGCTGTACAGAACGGGTTATTTTTACTGTAAGGTATCAGTCCGTGGATCGAGGTACTGCACATAAATGAACAATTCGCAAGGCTGCTTATTCTAATCAATATCTCAATGAAGGTCGAACATTATACTTTACATATATATGAGCTACATGATGAGAGATGTAATAATATACTGTAGGTTTGTGTGTATCTGCAGTTAAGGTCAGATGAGTATACTGCCTCCTTTTTTTTTATATGGGCAGTTACCGAGACACTATTTTGCGACGAATTTTCTATAGTTTTACATACACGCCGAGATTCCCAAAGGCTAGCCTTTTAAAACATATTCTTACTAACGTAATCTGTCTTTCTTTTATGAACAACAGACTATGAACACAACGAGACCGTAAAAGAAGCCGAATTAGTAAAAGAATGATAATTGATATGCGATGATGCAAAATGCGAGTATTTGACGTTAGTGATTTTCGCGGATTTCGAAATGCCCAGGGCTGGAAAACCGGACTCGGATGGAGCAGCTAACCACGAACGAAGAAGAAAACAACGTCCCACGTTAAGTATAACCTCCACTATCTTTTCAGCAGACTGATAATATTGTTTTCTAAAGACAATTAAAAACATCTTAATTGACTTCATCTGGAACAGAGAAAAGGGTATTTATGCCATAAAATAATCATTCATTTTTCAGATACGTCACGAAGCTACCTTTTGCTAAGGGTGTCAAACATCTGTACAACGGTGCATCCTATGGACCGAGTCCCACAGCAAAATTACCGCTTCTTTTTTTAACTAAAATGTGCAATTTTGTCTGAAGAAACGCAATACCAACCTGCAAGGCAGTCCTGCCAAACTCATTCCTTTCATTTACATTTGCCCCCGTTTGTAATAACATTTCAACTTCAGTTAAATCGCCCCTTGCAGATGCACTGGCAAGCCTGTTTGCTTCTGAAGAACCAGCCATTCTTTATGGAAATAAAATATTTGAAAAATATTTTCTTGGGAAAAAAAGTTGGGTGTTATTTGTAACAGTACGCTCTGCTTCTTTTTTATGGTAAACCTATAGTGACGCGAGCCACCAAAAAGGTTGTAGTAAATATTGAACAGTAAAAGAAACTGGGCTTCGGCCAGGGTCCGCCTCCCTTTTTAACACCATCCCACAAACACAATCCACTTCATTTTTACATCAGTTCGAAAAATCGGGATGTCCAGCCATTCCAGAACGAGGAACACAGATCTATATTTTTTCACTGAGCATCGCTCAGAAAACAAATCCATCATTAATGCCCTCGGAGACGCTCGGTCTTGGTCGGGTTTAGGAGAAATCCCTTCGTACCCGGATTTTCTGCCGATGACTCCGCGCACTGTTACTGCTTAAAATAAATTATTATAGACCCTAGACCCCAGATACTTGACATCTCCTGTAGTGGTTTCTTCAGAAAACCCGGCTGCTGGAAAGACTCCTCTTAGCTTATCCGTATTTGAAATCCAGGAATCGCTTTTTCTTCTACGGAGAAAAACACCAAGGTGACAGATAAAAGATTCAAACCTGTCACCACGCGTTTGCAACCGGGATGCGCAGAGGTCGAAAAAATGCAAAATTAGCTAGTTGGTGTCGAAAGATTTAAAATGTTTTTGTGCCCACCAACGTATTGGTCGGGTTCAGAGATGATTAAAAAAAGTCCCGGCTTCTGAGCAACAGTCATGAAGTGAGCTACATTTAACTCATTTCACAAACCGTTTTCTGTTTGAAAAGCGCGCTTGGCATTTAAGGTAAGTTCCTTGAATCGCCCTCAAAAATGGTATTTGCCTTTCACAAATCCAAATAGGCAAACGCTGTCATACAGGTGCAACCCATATTTCGGTTACTGTATCCCAAAAGCGATCAGTTTAAAAATACAGGTAGTCACATCGCCAGCGGCCGTCCACACAGCATATCCGATCATAAAAGAGCATGGTTTTAGTTAAACCGGTCCTTTTGCAAACAGTAAGTACGTTTCAAAGCCAGTCTTAATGCAATTCTGGACTGAAAACAAAAATGGGGAAAAATAGGTCTGTTTCTGTTTAACGAGTAGCTGTATCCAATGACATCTTAAAGGCTGTGTTTTCAAAGTTTTGTGCAAACTTCCCGCCCATTTTTGTAACTGTAGAAATAAGGGTTGCTCAAATGCGTCCTGCTTTCTTCATTATTGATGAGAGGTTGTTTATTTCGGTTAAAAAAGGCAACACCACGATATCGCGGCAATGCAGTACAGTATCTTCACAAAACAGGTACGGTATTGTATTCCTCCATCTCGGCCCTTCCTTTTCGCTTTTTAAAATTTGATTGTAAAGCCATCTCTCTGTAGTGATTTGTTACAGAAACCTAGTACCTTCCTGCCTTTGTGTCGTATCAAGGACCTCACTCGCATTAACGCTGATCCGCTTGCCATAACCTTAAAAGCATTATTTCAACACTGATAATATTTGCAATAAATTTCTGTTGCTCTCCCCCCTCCCCGACCTCATCGCAGTTCCATTTGCCAACCCCACCTTTTTGCGTAGTTTTTTTTTTTAACACGAGTGATTTTTTTTTGAAAAAGTGGTTTGTTGCTGTTCATTGACATCACTCATTTTTGAAAAGAGGGAGCTCCTCCGACTCTTCCGCCCACACAGCTAACGAACAGATCAGAGGCGGGGCTGACAGATACAGTCGCTTCTGAAAGAGCAGGGGGAGGCGAGCTGGGACTGGACCGCTCTGTCGTCGCTCCGGCTTCTACGGGAGGGGGCAGGGGCGAGAAACCTAGCTTGCCTTACTCTCTGACCAAAGCCACTGGGACAGGATTTTGAATTAGACGAAAACCGTACCCAAATTCCACCTCTGTAGAGATCAAAAAGTCACATATTTCATTTGCACCTTCAGGTTTTTAGCTTTTCGTTATACACGGACCAAGAAACATCGTATACAGGACTTTTATCAAGAGAGTCATTTACATTCTAATGTTTTGTCCTTTAAACTCTGTATTACCGGTATTTTAAAAGTATCGGTAACCTGAAAATCATAGCCAAGACCCTTGCGAAGTCTGCGTCTTCGACTTGAACGCTTGCGAAACTGTTTTACCATTATGTGTCAGTCTTTTTCCCAGGTCGAATTATCTACCTTGCTAATAACGCAGCTTTCAATTTCTACAAGGCTTATCAACTGGTACGTTTGGCCAATAGCTGTTGGGAACCAAATGGAAAAAAGAACGAAAATAAACGACGCCACAGACCGTGTAAGACTGGAATTATGAAAACGATTCGCATTCATATCTCACTGAAACGATAGTGATTATTTTTAAAATTTCTGTTACTTTGTGGTAATTTGGCATCTCAAGATAAAGATGATAATACATTTACACAGCGAAACATATATACTTGCTATCAGCATTATGCTGGAATCAAGCGTTCGTTTTTCTCCATAGTGACAGTGCTGAGCTATATAATTAACTCGCCACGCTACATCTAATCTCATTTGCTATATGCCTTTTCAAAAAGGTTATACGCAAACGAGCCTTTTTTATTTTATGCACTTTAAATATGAATGGTGTTCTGCTCCCACAGATGTTTAACATTAACCAAACTGAACACGAAAACCCCGTAACAGCGTACAGTGTGTTGGCTGAACGGTGCGCTCCCAAGAAATGCAATTAACGCAATCAGGTCTGCAAGTCCTTCTTGCCCCTGGGCCGCCTCCACCCTTGTATGTCCAACATGCGAGTTTCAAAGGCTACAGCAGACGACAACCAAACAAGACAAGCAAAAACAGCAGTCATGCAGAGCACGTATAGCAGATAAAAACTGGACATTGTGGCAGAGCAGCAGTCTGTCGTGAGCGCCTGCCTGGTGTGTACTCAAGCAGCGCTGCGCCCTCTGTCTCTGAAAATGAATGGAAATATTTTCTTCAGTTTTTATAAATAGCGAGTGCCGCCTTGTGAAACATATGCTGTACTTTCGCACCAAAACGTGTGCTCTGTCGATTGTGATTAGAAATGAAAATGATTGTACTACATAAAGAAGGAGGTCTTGTAGTGAGATTTACACAATGTATCCTCTAATTGAGACAATAACAGTTAACTTGACTGTGTACAGCAAGTTTCTCATGACATGTAGTCAGGGTAAATTAGTGGCACAGTGACGACGTCATGATGACAGATTTCAGAAATTAAACAGTATACTATACATTTAACAATCGGGATCCCAGACAACTGTGTGGGTCATAAGTGAGACAGGGCACTTAGGTCATTCTCCTTATTGGCAAGGAAGGCAGAGACAGGGCACTTAGGTCATTCTCCTTATTGGCAAGGAAGGCGTAGTGGTTAGGGCTCTGGGTTTATAACTGGGTAGCTGTGGATTCAGGTCCAAGGTAGGGCACCTCTGTTAAAATCTTGAGCAAGGCAAGTTACTCAGTAAAATGCACAGTGTAAGCTGGGGTTGAAGAGGTTGATAAGGCCCTCTTGAATGGGAATATAAGCAAGTTCACAAATAAGCAGAGGCTTTTTAGCCCCACTAGACCATTCGATAGTTAGTAGCCGATTGATCTAAGGGTCTCATCCAAACGTTTCTTGAAAGAAGCCAGGGTATTGGTTTTGACAATATGAATGGGTAGCTAGAAACTGGAGCACCTGAACCCCCCCCCACACACACACACAGAAGTACAGGAAGAAAGCTGTTGGGATTGAGCCCTATGAAAATGTGAACAAGGGAAATTACCTTTGTTACAATGTTATGGAGAAGGGAGACATTCTCTCCATGGGGCTCTCTGAACAGCTACATCCTTTTGATGATTTATAGCACATGTTTATGTTTTACCATGAAAATTTAATATAATCATTACAAAAGGAGGGAATAATAATGACACCTCATATATAACTTATTTTATCTCAAATAATCATAAAGTTCTTCACATGTAATTAGGGACTGACTTCATCCACCACTGAAGTGCAGCACCCTCAGGGGTGGAATACAGCAGTGGTTCTGTGCCAGCAGTTCACTACACTGCAAGTAGGGAAGAGAAGTGATTACATTTCTTTGCTGATTGAACATAACATTTAAGTACAGGCCAGACTGAATAAGCCAAAATGGAAGATTTCCAGGGAACGGGTATGCCTGGGGATCCTTAATGACTGGTATCTGACAGGACTTTGTTTTCCATTTCATGAAAGCAGATGCTATTTATTTTATGGTGATAAACAATGTATTTTTCGCCAATATAAAATCAAGATGATGATTCATTGAATATGAGTTTCAGTGCTGTTCTTGCATCAACTTCCATAACTCGGCCTCGTAAGAGTTCCTGAAATGTCAGGCGGGCTGCAGTGATTGGCACGGACGCTTGTGATGTGGACAACAGGGATCAACCAGCGCGCAGTCTCCCTGGCACATCAGCTTGACAGCCATCTGGAGTGAGCTGGGCAGGCCACTACACAGGATTTCAATGTGGTATATATCTCGCACAGGAGAACTTTCTTCTCTCAGCAGACTGCCACCTAGTGGTCCACCAACAATCAGCTTTGCTTAACTATTTTGGCCCTGAGAGGAGAAGAGGCTTTCCCAGAACATTTGAATTGTCAGTAGTAAGTTTTCCAAAACAAGGCATGTTTTGCAGTAAATAGCCCTGACTCTGGCCTTGACAGGTGATTGTCTACACACACAATATGTTTATCAGTCAAAAACACACATTCCTTCCTTACATGCTTGAAAAACACCTGTGCATAATTCTACTGTATGACGGTCTTACTCTAAGTACTGTACATGACGAAAACGTCATTAGGAAAAAAATGTCGTTCATTTTGTTTTAACAAACAGTGCAAGGAATGTGGAACAACCGGTGATTGCGGATCTACTGGTTCATAAAGCTCTGAACCTATATTAAACAGCACATTGTTATTATTGGGATCACCTAATTTTGAACTTGTGTAGAGTTTTGCGCTGTTAACTGAGTGCACCATATCTGACGTGGCCACATTCCAACTCGGTGGAGAGTACTGTATGAGTGTTTCTCCTTTTTCGAATCCAATAATATTTATTTTCTATATATAACATTTTAACCAATCGCACCTCATGCACAAGTTCACCGTGTAAAGAGAGTCTGATATGACAGAGATAGTAACTGCGAAACTCAACTTGTTTTAATTTTTTTTTATTTTAATTTAAAAGTGTTAATACCCTCTCTCCCCAAAGAGTGACGTCAAACCTTGTGTGATATAGGCTTTGTGTGCCTTTATTTTTTGTTTCGCAGTATTATTATTCCTCAGCCTTGTAAACAACTGCACCAAGACACTCCAACGAAATTATCACATAACGCGACAATATCCTTGCGTTACAATGTTTTCATATTGGATTTAAAAAGCACACTATCTCTTTAAAAACTTTCCATCAACGCTGCCGAAAAGCATTTTTTCGTTTAGCCGTGCGACGTTTTTTCTTCTGCCGTAAAGCAACTGGAGAGGTGCCTGTGAGCACATAAAAAAGGAAAAGTGTTGGTTCATCAGAGGCTGAAACCCACAAAAAAAAGATCCGGAATACCAACGAAACTGCGGGATAACGCCGCCGTTTTCACCTTCCCTACCTGCGTAGTCCCGTTTCCCGGGTGGGCTCGGGTAGTTTTTGTGTATTTCCGACGGCATTTTTATATGAAACCTTAGCCCCCTCCCCTCTCCCCTCCTGCTTTCACTAGAGAGAGATAGCCAGTCACTGCAATGGCCTCCGATAGCGGTAGCAACATGGACAGAGAGATGATTCTGGCTGACTTTCAGGTGGGTTTCCTCTTTGCACGGGTTCCTGTACGTGGCTCTTAATGCTCGCCGACTTGTTTAACTTGACATGCTGTTCCTGAAAGGAAATGCCACACGTCAACAGCAGCACAAGAGAGACAAGATGCTCTTGTTCAAACAGAATAGAACCTGTCACATTTCAAACAACAACAACACAAACACACGCCGGTCTGGGTTTCTGTAGATGAGGTATAGACACTGTTAACACATTAGACGTGATACAGGAATCGTACTGGTTGAGAAGCTTACATGGCTTAATAAAGAAAAACAAAGGTTCCATGAAGTTGAAAAATAAATGAAGACTTAACATTTTGTTTACGTTACCACGACTGAACGTAGATCTTGAACTCATCAAAAAAAAATTGCTAAAGGACAGTGAACTTTAACCCAAATAAAAAAAAACAGGTTGTTGTGGATGTTTCACAAAGGCAGTGCCTGAACACTTTTCATACTCCTGACTTTAACAAGCTGTCTGTAAAGCTAAGAAAAAATAAAAACTATCCATTTGAGATCTACCAAAAGTGCTTTGCTGATGGCTGAAGAAAAATATTTTGATCTTAGAAGAGGTCCAATTTTAACTCTAGTAAGGCACTAATGGCCTAGTCCTGCAGCATTTTATGCAAATTGTAGTTTTTATAGGTCTTTAAAGATCCCGTTTAGACAGATAAGAAAATGGCTTATGCCAAAGAAATAAGGGATTTAACAATGCACCCAGTTTGACAGACTTGCCTTTCTGAAATCTTTAAGATGTTGCGGTTTGTTGCTGCCAAGCGTGATTGTCACCTTTTCATTCAGAAAATACAGTGAGAACAACCTTTTTTTAATGTGAGCTTAGTAACTGTAAGATTTTAAATGAGTAGGGATGAATTAGTGTGATTTGTGTATCCTAAAATAATATTTTTCTGTATTTTCACTTTTAAAATTAATTTTAAGATCTTTTGATCTCAGAAGGGAAAATTAAAGTTTCTTTCTAAGATATTTTATACAGCAAATTGATTATTTTTATATAAATCATTATCATAGTCTTTATATTGGAGATTGAAATAGTAATTTTGTTGACAAACATTTGATGATATAAGGATATTTTTACAGCTTCTTTTCCTGCATGTCAGGTGATGCAACATGCAGTCTTGCTCTTCCCAGTGAGTTGGTAGAAAGTTTACATAAGTGACAGTCTGCTGTTTTGTAACATTTAACTCTACCTTCATTCTTTCTTAATGTGCTGTAGCTGTTCCTGCTGGGATTTTTCCTGTGTACCACTGTGAGTAATTGCCCACTGTTATGAAATGATGTTTGTAGGACACATGTGAGGAAGGAACTGAGGGAAACAAATGTTTAACAGGCCGGAGTGTGCTTCAGAGACCTGTGTGCTACTTACATCTTCCTCCTGTACTCTTCCATGGAATCTTTGTGCACCTGGTTCTGCAGTAGTCCATTTCCATGGTAGATTACAGTCTAAAAAAGGTGCCACAGGAGATAAAGCAAGTGAAATTGTAGGCTACATCATAAATGTTCAGATGAAGCAACATGGTTTAAACCCATTGCTTGAGATGTAACAGTGCACTGAGCAATATGCAGTACCACTGACTGGTGATTTGGTAAGCATGATGGAGTTAAGTTGCGCTGGCATAAATGATTAATGTGCAATATCTTAAGTAAGACCAGAAGGAATTAGCAAGTTGGTATTCATTACGTTTATAGCCATGAAGCCATTTACTGAGTAGACTGCTTCTGGTCAGTGATGATGTGTCTCCTGATAACAGTTTTACAGATGTCTAAAAGTGGCCCTTCATGCCTGTGATTATGTTTATTATGCTGATATCAAAGCCTTTTGTGATGCAGCTACGTTTCTGAACACCATGACCGCCCTTTTACTACTATAAGGATTTAGAAAGTTTTTATAGGTTTTGCAAATAATCCTGAGTTTGAGATGAGCCCCCTAATTAAATATATTGAATTGTCATAAAATGAGCAGAGGAATGGCAGTTAAAATAAAAATGCAACACAAGGAGTTTTTTAGTGTAATTAAATCTGTGTTCTGTGGGCTGGGAAGATTTAAGGTAACCTGGTTATATTTGTGGTATGACTGGACATGAAAGCCTAGTTCTTTGTGAAGCGTTTATTAAAATAAAGCTGATTTAGGAAAACTAATATATTCAGTCAGAGTATTTTTTGTTTCTGGATTAATTTTGACTGTAAGCTGAAAGATACCTGCTTTTTTCTATGCTTCATACACAGACATTCATGGTAGCAGGTTTTATTTTTAAGATCACTTTATTGATCATATACAATTTATTGTATTGGGAATTTGCCTTTTTGTATACCCCAACATGCTCTCCATGAGACACACAGAGAGGGAGTGAAGCTTGGGATCAGAGCTCAGGGTCAGCCTTTTATATTCGCCCCTGGAGCACTTGGGGTTAAGGGTCTTGCTCAGGATTCCTATGCTGACCGCGGGATACGAACTGGCAACCTTCCAGCCACAGGCGCAGATCCTTAGCCACAGAGCCATTGTTACTGATGGAAGTGTGCTCATAAGGTATTGTGAATGTCAGGAGGTTCTCAGAAAATAGTTTTATTTTTTTTAACCAGTTCAGCTTTTGTCTTTTTGGTCCTACTTTTTAATGGATAAATGTAAGTGGAAGAAAATCATTTCGCAGATTTACTACCCTTTCCATATCACTTGAATTTACAATCTCATTTTCACTTGACAGACTATGACAGACTGAACGGAAAACCAGAAGTTTAAATTCAGCCTAATTTTTAAACCCTTGCAGATGATCAGATACTAAAATCTCATGATGAGCATCTACAATTATCTGGAGTTTAGTGAATTTTGTGGAAACGTCCATTTGTCAGTAAAGACTGACAAAAACCACATATTACATGCGAGAACCTGCCACCTTAATCTAAAGACAGTTTTTGAATTCAATCAGTGTTCTATTAAAGAATCATCCAGGCCTTTGCTAAAGGACACCATGGACGTACACCATGTACTGTAAAGTTTTGCAATCTCCAATGTTTCCACATTGTTGTGCAGAAGGTATTTCAACTGTTTGGTCATGGAAGCCATTTGAAGTAAGAAGGGATTGTTAAATATGAGGCAGGTGTTTTTTAATATATGTGATGGGATTTCTGTAGATAGAATTCAGCTATTGGAGTAACTTAGTTGAAGTGCAGCAGCTGTAACACATTTCTTTTGTGCTGAATTAGCTAATCCATTACCCCAGTGCACCAGCAGAGAAGGACTTCTTATGCTGAAATTTTCCTTTGCAGTTACTTTCATTACCCTGCTTGTATCTATTAAAACAAAAAATAATAATTAGTAATAGACTGCAGACTGCCAGAAAATACATATTTATAATATATACCTCATCACTTATTTGCTTCTTTTGTTGTTGTTGGCTTCCTTTGAAAGATTATGAAAGATTGTATATGGAAAACACATGCACAGGCAGTCCTCTGCTTGAAAGTCAAGGTCTTTTTGAGATGAGATCTCTAGGCTCTGTATTTATCACCTACGTAGCCTTTTTGTTGCTCTATAGTTTTTAAACTTTTATGTCCTTATTTATTCAAACCATGTTCAATTTTATAAATACGTTTCTGTCAGTGGAAGTTCATGCAGTACTGATATAACGTTGAAGGACAAAATCATTACTGCTAGGGTTGGTATCTTCCTGTTGGCCACTTGTATTTCTGAATGACAGGTGATGGTGAAGGCTTCTGGGCAGAGCTTACAGTTGGCACAGTTGTGCCTGTTTCTTACTGGCTGATGTAACGGCTTGACGGAGTGGATAATTATGTGTAAAAATTAGTCACTTTGGAGTGTGACTTTGAGAACCCATGGCTCAAATTAGAGCCTGTCTGGGACAATAGTTGATATTAGATTTGCTATCACTAGCGACATTGTCAGAAACTTCCATCATCAAATGTATTGAAAGAATTAGCTATCTCTCTTTGCATGTCAGTTTGTACTTGATGTGTAGAAGACAGGAGGGAGTGAGGGGTTCTTTCAAGGTTAGTTTGAAAGTCATGTCCAGTTCTTTTACAGCAGCCAGGCTAGGATAAGCGGTCGGAACTTTTCATATCCTTAATGTGCAAGAAAACAGCTGAGGTACCCTGTTTCAGGTGTCACAGGCCAGGAATTAACTCCTCAATGTGCTCTATCTGTTTGTTTGAAAAGTGGTTTGGAGGTTAATTATAATCTAACGTAGGATCAGAGTGAAAGGGACACTTTGGTTGGGAAAGTACTGTAAGATGTCCACAGTAAGTGATGGGCAGTTTCCCTAATGTTTGTCCACAGCTGAAAATAAGGCCATTACCTTTGTAACCTGACTGACTGTGAGACTTGCTCTCTGGGTACACAGAAATCAGTATGGCTTTCTGGCTTAGCACTGCCTTGTTTATGGAAGACCATCAATTAAAGCAGCCTTTGTCTCAAAGTCGGGGAAGTCTTTCTTTCCTCCTGAAGAAACCATTCTCATTTCATGCTAAGACATTTGGTCCTTCATGATGGTATCTTTGCAAATGTGAATGAGCTGTTAGTAAACAGTTTTTCCTGCTGAAAGCACAGAAAGCTGTTACTGTAGAGGTCTGTATTTTTAACAAGCAGAATGACACAGCTGTTTATGAGGTCAACAACTGACAGCTTAGCTTGCATGGAATGTGCATGATCTTGTGCTCAAATGAAAATTCTAAGGGACAATAGGACATTACTGAGGCTTTTCCTACTGTCATTCACATAACACATGATTTAGGGTGGTGTTTGTGTTAGGGTTGGTTTTTTGTTGAGAGTTTTGGGTTGAAATGTTTCTGGAAAATATGGAACAAAGCCACTTCCCACAGATCAGTATGGCCTACAGTAATATTTTACAGGAGAGTCAGTTTTTTTTTTGCAAAGTAGGTCGTAATCGTGTCTGAATAAACTATACAAATTATTTGATTTACATTTGGGGTTATATATGTGGAATTCTATAATTTGT